GGTGTGGTCCTGTCCTGGTCCTGTCTAGCAAGTAGATACACACCAATTTTGACCTAGTCCAGGACTTCCCTCTGTTTGATCTTGACTCTGAAGCAGGTGGTTTTGGCCTGAGTCAGTGTGGGAGTCCTGTTCACAAATGCTTCCTAGCACGGTCCAGATGTCAGCTGGGTCCTAGCTCCATTTTGAGGTTCAATCTTTGAGTCTCGTGTAGAGACTCTCCTGAGCCTTCCTTATGGATGACAGCAAGACAGGTGCCCGCATTATCCAGATCACAGCACTTCTTAGTGGAGAGACAGTAAAAGTCTTAAATTGAGGCAGGTGCATGGGGCACATGCCTGTGATCTGAGCACCCTGGGAGGATGAGGCAAGAATAGCACAGGTTCAGAGCCAGCTAGGCAATGGTGCAACTTAGAGAACCTGTCCCAAAACACTGAATTTTGGCATGAGCCTCATGGATTCAATCCACAGTACTGAAAATAAATGTCCAATAAGTGCTATCAGTTCCTGGATTTGGTTGTGAGTCTTGGGGTACGTCCTGGGTACTGTCTCTTAATATACTCAGTGTGTGCAGAAACCAGGGTCAGGTCACGTGCTGAGGGAGATGCTTATAAGAAAGTTCTAGTATGGCATAAACTCAAGGAGGCCTTCATTCAACTGTGTATTATAATCAAATTGTCTCCAGTTCCCAGCAGGATAGTCTCAAGTAATAAATACCTGAATTAAGGCAGAGCAAGTTTGGTGAGCAAATATTTTGTGCCTCATATCGAGAAGTCAGAAAGACACAATTTGGTTGCTGCATCCAGGAAAGAAATAAGCACAGCCAAGGTAGACATTATGCTGAAGGAGCTTTCAGACAAAGAGAAGATAGGGTCCTCTCCGCCGCCCCCCCACCCCCAGACCCTCTCCATCCCCAGATGAGGTTGCCAAGTGACTCTCTGCTGCCCCCTAGTGTCCACTGAGCACAGGCTGCTGGAGAATCAGGGACTTCCCATATCCAGGGGTAGATGCAGGGCCTGCAATTCATGTCTGTGGCTGCCTGACTATGCCTGGTGGCCCCAGGATAGAGAAGTCTCCTTTCTGTGTAACCCCTGCATCTTCAGCACCATGCACACGGGACTCAGATTACCATGAAAATGTGAACAACTTAATTTTGACAAGAAGGGGTCAGGGCCCACTTGACAGGTTTCTGAGCTTTGTTCTGGGGTCCTGAAGGTGGTATTACAGTTGCACAGTGGCAACCACAGGACACTGGGACAGTGCAAATACTTGAGGACTATCCTTGTGGTTGGTGCTGGCTTCTCTACCAAAGACAGACGCAGTAGAACACCACCTATTCAACTCATGATGCAGACCTAGCACTGTCTGACCCAAATTCTACCCTTGAAATTTAGCATGGCTATGACACAGCCTTTGGTGTCCAGAGTCCCCATCCAATCAGTGGGTTCCGCAGCAGTCACACTGAGCTCATGGACTCAGCAGTTGATCCCTGCCATGCTCTATGCATAATACCCTTTAGTTTCTTAAATCTAGACCCATTTCCAAGGCTTTCCCCACTAAGATTAACCATGTAGCCTAGTGCTGGTCCATCGGATATAATAGGCTGCTGGCTGAGATTCTGCTCAGGGTAAAGCTGCTCTTATGAAGCCAGGAAGCAGAGTGCAGCTGTGGACCACTTTTCCTCTTGAACATGGTATAGTAGCTGAAACCGAAGCAGCTGTGTTGAAGATTTTAGGCAACACAAATGAAATAAAACAAACAAAATGTTGGAATTTTGATGACAAGTCGCTTTCAGGAAAAGAAGAATCACCTACTTGCAGCTTCATCTTTTAAGAGAAACACAAGTCATCACTTGCTTTTGCCCCCAGGGGTCACATAGGTCTTTGCAGTGAAAAAGCATTTCTATGGATTAGTGAGGTAATGGATAACTACATCAGCTAATAGGACATTATAGGGAGCAAACTCACCACTCCAGTTCATATGTGGATAATTAGTGGAAAAGGCACACAGTGGCCCCCTGAGATTCTCTCATCAGAAGTCAGCACCCTTCCTGACATGGTGCCTCTGGAGCAGCCCTGGGGATGGAATGAAGGAACACATGGTACGAGTGTGTGCAGGGAGCTACACATACTTCTAATAAGCAGAGTATGGTGTGAGGATCTGAAAGGACCATGGGCGTTTGAAGGGGGTCAACCTACTTTAGCTCAGATAGGACAGATATTCTTTAAGTGATATATTCTTTAAGTGATCATCAGGAGGAGGAATGAGGGTCAGCCAAATAGCTCAGCAGATTAAAACTCCTGCAAGTAGGCACAGAGGCCCTTCCAGGCCTGTCCCCGGGGCACGCTATGAAGGCAATTGAGACTGGGTGTGGTGGTGTGTGCCTGTAATCCCAGCTCTTGGCAGGCTGTAAACAGGAGGATCACTATGAGTCTGATCTAGTAGTGAGACCCTGAACACCCTGTAGATCCTTCCATTAAATACAAAAAAACTATAGCAAAATTCCAGAATATAAGCACATAGTTTTACAAAAAAAAAAAAAAAAAAAAAAAGCAGGAATGATGTGCAGTCTGGGAAATTTCCAGGCAATACTGGTGGTCTGGGAGCAACTTAGCACATGCACTCTTTGGTGGCTTCCAGAATGATAGATCTGAGTGATTCCAGGTATGAGAGAGGTGGGATCAGACCTGCTACTCAGTCCCACACTAAGGCACCTGGGGTGATGACATTGAGGGAGCATTTAGCAAGCTTCCTTCCATTCTGACTGTGAAGATGAGCTTCTCAGAGGAAGTGCTGCCCTTCCTTCTACAGCACCTCCAAAGAAGTGGTGTGCTGAATCCTTCCAGCTCTCTTTTATGTCCTTTTTGTGATGAGTCACCCTAGGGCAGCCTTGCACACTCTTAGGGAGTGGCTTCCATGCCACACTTAGGAACCTCCACACCTGGAGTCACTGATTGATCCTGTCAATTTTTTTTATTTTTATTTTTGTATTTTAGGGCAGGGTCTACAGGGTGTTCAGAGTCTCACTACTAGATCGGATTTGTAGTGATCTGCCTGTTTACAGCCTCTCAAGAAGTGGGATTACAGGCATGCGCCACCACACCCAGTCCAAATTGCTGTCTCAGGGTGCCCCCGGGGGCAGGGTCAGCACAACAGGCCCCAGGATTGAGCCACTCAGCCTCTGTGCCTGCTTGCAGGCACTTTAATCTGCTGAGGTATTTGGCATGCCCATATCCTGTCAAATTTGTAACTTTTCAAGTTGACACAATGTATCAAACACAACAATCCACATGTAGTCATCTTGTCAACTAGACATGCTTCTTCAAACCAGTCTCCAGATACAAAGACAGGCTTATTAAGAAACCTCAAATTTTATGTCCAATCTTACTTAACTATATTTGTTAATCTCGCAACAGATTTGAAGATAAAAACAGATAATATATCAACCATTGTCAATCAGCTCTTCTTGGTTTGAAAATCTGTGACATATATATTGCTGTATGTAGCCCTGTATCTTTTTTTTTTTTTTTTTGGCGGAACTGGGGATTGAACTCAGCCCTTTGCACTTGCCAGGCAAGTGCTTATTCTACTGAGCTATCTCCCTGGCCCCTGCCCTGTATCTTTGTTTCTGATTTTTCTTCTTGCTTTTCCTTCTGCCTTTGCTTTTCAAAAATAATTAAATTAAACAAGAACAAAAAGACATGCTTATTAACATTTCACATCTTGGACATCATAACACAGGTTTTACTATCACTAAGAATCACTAGCAAGTCTATCAACATTATATTACATGAGAAATGTAACATTCTGCCACTGGTCTCCCAAAGACTCATGCACATCCCTTGACGCAAAAGACACTTAGTCTATCTTCAAGAGTTTCCAAAGTCCTAACAGTTTCAGCA